AAGATGACCAGCAGGAGGTCCAACATGAGCAGAAATCCCCAGCCAAAGATGTAGTGCACAGCACAGAGGGTGCTGTATCGCTAGAGAATGAGAATGAGGAAGATGAGGAGGAGGGCGAGCAAAGAGCCCAAATAGAGGATCAGGATGCAGATGATGAAGATGACCGCCACAGCAAGACAGCAGGGCCAGAGAATAATGCAGAAGACCTGGAAGAGAGTTCGAAAGACTTACCCAAATGCACGCCAACTTTTTTAGATGCAAAAGAAGACAATGACTCTGAGTTGAGTCAGCAGGTTTCTACAGTACTCTGTAGTGAAGCGGAACAAGCTACTGCTACAGAAAGCATCCAGGATAGTGCGCCGGCAGAACCATCAGAAGCAACACCGGCACCTGAAGCAGCAGCAGTCACTTCAAAAGCAGCTGTAGACTCTGATAATCCTGCAGACTCTGAGTCAGAGGAAGAGAGTTTGCATAGTCCTTGTCCAGAACACCACCTGCCTCTTCCGCCTGCAGAGAGGCCAATACTCAATCCCATGCTGAGGGAGGATCCCCCAGTCTGCACAGAGATTGACTCAGAGACAGCCCAAGCTGTTCAGTCCCTGACGCAGGAGACCGAGCGGGAGAATGTTTTCCAGGACTGCGTGGAGAGCCAGGAGCCCTGCAGGAACCTGCAAACGTATGCCCATGTGAGCCAGAGTCCCCAGATCACCTCGCTGGACGACTGTCCTCAGTCAGATCACAGCAGCCCCCTTTCCTCTGCGCACTCCCATCCCAGCCAATCAGTACGCTCAGTTAACAGCCCAGCTGTCTCCATCCTGGACAGTGGCTACACGCAGATCAGCCCTGACCACAGTGCCATCTCAGTGCCGTCGCTCCATAATATGGAGACAAGTCCCATGATGGATGTACCGTCGGTGTCTGATCACTCGCAGCAGGTGGTGGACAGTGGCTTCAGCGATCTGGGCAGCATTGAGAGTACGACAGAGAACTACGAGAACCCCAGCAGCTATGACTCCACCATGGGCCAGAACAGCTGCTCATACGGCAGCATCCCCCCTAGCGGCCTGCCCCAGAGCAGCTGCGCCGTGAGCCAACAAATGGCTGCCGTTAACCCCGGCAGCTGCGGGATGATCCAGCAGAACAGCCTGAGCTCACCACCGCACTGCAACGTCAAGTCACCGCAGGGCTGCGTCGTGGTTGAGAGGCCTCCGAGCAACAGCCAGCACAACCAGCACAGTCAACACAGCCAGCGCAGTCAACACAATCAACACACCTCCCACAGCAGGCACGGCCCACACAATCAGCACACCCAACACAATCAGCACGGTCCACACAATCAGCTTACCCAGCACACTCAACACAATCCCCACAACCAGCATAGCCACCATCACAATCATCACCTGCAGCACAATCAGCTCAGCCAGCACAATCCGCATGCTCAGCATAGCCTTCACAATCAGCATGGTCAGCACAGCCAGCAGCAGTCTATGACTCAGTGCGCCATACCCACCAATTTCGCCACCACCATGCAGCTGGCAGACATCCCTGAATCTGGCAACCCGAACTTTGCCCTCTATGAGAGGATCAACCACCAGGGGGAGTATGGCAGCGGGCACTATTCTCAGTCCTCTGGCCTTAGTCTCGCCAAATTGCAACAATTTACCAACACATTCATAGAGCACCCTCACTCGCTGCCTTTCAACCACTCGGCCTCACACCCCATCACATCATACGCCAACACCCCCTCATTATCATCGCAGCACTCTAGCCTGGTATCCTTGTCCCAGACGCCACATCGAGTCCCCAACCCACAGGTGCAGGCCACCGTGACCCCGTCCCCGAATCTCAGCTCACCACCACCCATGATGCTACAGCGCAACATGGGCATCCCGCACTCGCAGCGGATCCAGCCTCAGATGGCCTCCAAAAATCACATCTCTGCACGCTCCAAGTCGGCCTCGCTGTCGCACCACCAGCAGCAGATGTACCCCCGGCCGCCACAGGCTGTCGCCATGCAGGCGCCATCCAGGACGCTGGCCGCCATGCCACGCATGAACATGAGCATGAACATCATGCCGGCACCAGCCTACAACGTCAACTCCATGAACATGCCCTCCCTCAACGCCATGAACGGCTACAGCATGAGCCAGCCCATGATGAACAGTGGCTACCATGGCAACCATGCCTATATGAACCAGTCACCCCAGTACTCTATGCAGATGGGCATGATGGGAACACAGCCATACCCCCAGCAGCCCATGCAGGCTCCACCACATGGCAACATGGTGTACACTCCAGCTGGGCACCATGGCTACATGGACACAGGCATATCCAAGCAGTCCCTGAAAGGGCCTTTCATCAGGCGGTAACTGTCCGCAGGACTGAGCTGCTTCTCCTCGTGTGCATTTTGCTGTTAAAAGATGCACTGATTTGGCCTTTTCCCTTTTTTCTTTATTTCTTTTTGTGTGTGTGTGTGTATGTCTTCATTTTTCCTTTTTTTTTTTTGTTTTTCTTGTTGTTGTTATTGTTAATGACTTATTAAAAAAACCAGCAGAAGCAGCAGCACTTGGAAAGAATGCAAAAAATTTCATCAGTGAGTAAACTTTGAAGTTAATGTTTGAAAAGTATTTTTTGTTCCTCCAGATGGGAAGCCTTACATCATTATGATGAAAATCTATTTAATTAGTGTTAGTGTCTCTGATGTGTCTTTAGACCAGGCGGGTTCAGAGCTCACAGGTAGAGATTTCATCAGTGGTCTTGTGTAGCAGCCTCAAATGAAGCCATTTAACGTGCCTGCTACAGGTGGAGATAGTGGCTGTTTGAACCTGTTCAGTGTACCTGTCTAACAGTGCTGACAGTTAGTTTGTACTATACTCATGCCTTTGTATATTTAAATTATTGTACTTATTTTGTAAAGTGACAACTAGCATGCTTCAGTCTCTGTTAGTGACAGTGCATTGAGTAGTACTGTACAAGTGTTGTGCTTAATAGCAAGCCATTTTAAAAATATCTGGCCTTTACTAGGTTTCCCTCTACGGGGAGAAAGATGAAAAACTATATTTTGTTAATTCTAATAATGTAAAAAAAAAAAATATGTAAACTTAGTCTTGTTTTCTGTTTGGTTTGAGAGGTTTTATTGCTATGTATGTATAATTCTGAAGTCTTTTGTAACAGATCTCCTTGAGGCAGCTTTCTGTTTAATAAAGCAGACTGATTTCTGTCAAAGTAACAAAGCATATCTCAGTGTTTTTACCCTGAAAAATTCTAAAACATTTCGAAATGTCCAGAAGTGTGGCAGAATTTAAAAAAAAAAAAAGAACTAAATGATTATAATGATGAATAACAATAAAGAAAATATAAATTTAGTCCAAAGTCGATATTTTACATAATGCCTTTAAAGCTACGTTTTCATTCCATCTGTAGATTTGTTTTCTATCTTTATAAAATGTTGGATTTATATTTTACCGAAGTGTAGAAGAATAGATCCTGTGAATAGACCAAACTAAGCTAATGGATTGCATGTAAAACGCAACTTGTACTTGTGTTTTTGTTTATATTGCTCTTTTGTAATCTTTCTACCTGTACAGAGTTGCTGGTAAGAACGGGGGGAAATACCTGGCTATGTGCACACAAATCGGACAGAATGACATTCTTGTATTTATGACTTTTCTCCTTTTTGTCAGTCACTTAAAATGCTGTACATTTTAGCATAAGAATAAATTATGATTGACCATGTACTTCACTGTTCTGCTTTTAATTTCAAAACATGCGTGTCGCAGAACCCAGCGGTAGATTTTGAAGGGTTGTGGTAATCCAGGCAGGTGTTTTTTCCTGGAGATTTGCTAGGATGGGGCTGAGGCTTAACTTGATTTGCACTCAAAATACTTATGAGTCGGGCTTTGATAGACCTGATCCTCGAGTAGGACATTTATTCAGTTATCTGAGAGCCAACTTGGATTTCTCACTATGATTTGCAGTTTGGTTTGAGACAGTCCCTGATATATAGTCATGTGAAAAACTCAAGTACACCCCGTGATTCATTTGCTTGTACAACCACCTTCAGCAGCAATAACGTGAAGTAATCATTCTCTGTTTGACTTTATCAGTCGCTCACATCTTTGTGAGGGACTTTTGGCCCACTGCTCTTTAGTTCACTGAGGTTTGCAGCTGTCTTAAACTCCTGTCACAGCATTTCAATCAGGTTGAGGTCTGGACTTTGACTTGACCATTGCAACACCTTAATTATTTTCCTTCTTAGTCATTCTTTTGGAGACTTGCTGCTGTGTTCTGGATCATTGTCCTATTGCATGATACATTTTGGGCCAAGCTTTAGCGGCTGAACTGATGGCCTCATATTTGACTCGAGAACATTTTGATATACACAGTTCATACATAGTTGAATCAATGGTTGCAAGGTGTCCCGGTCCTGTGGCTACAGAAACAGCCCAAATCATGATCTCTCCACCGCCGTGCTTCACATTTAGCATGAGGTGTTTGTGCTGATATGCTGTTTCTGTGCATTATGACCAAACATCCCCACTTTGCTCTTGTCTGTTCCAGAAGTGCTTTTTAGAAAGTTTTAGTCTTTTTCTAACTAAACTGTCAAGACCTTTGACATTTAACATGCTAATGGATTCCTGCAGAGTCTGAGATGTAGCTCTTGGAGGTTTTTGTTTGCAATTTCTCTGACTTCTCTGTGAATTTACCAGGACATCAGCTCCCAGGAAGATGTTGTGAATAATACTTCTTACTGTAGAATGATGGACTCTTAAGTTACATGTAAAAAGGCCTCATAACCTTTCTGAGATTGATGGGCAGCAACAGTTGCTGATGTCGTTCCTCCTTGGCATTGTGTTAACGGACAGCTGAATTCTCCAGACCAACAAACTGCCAAAACTTCTGTTTTTATAGAGGTGCTCAAATTGCTGATGATTAGCAGCACCTGGTTGCTACTTACCCCTGACTTTACTTTTATTCCTATGGAAGCAGTAAAGCTGTACTTAGTTTTAATAGGACTTTATTTTTTCCACATGGCTGTAACTCGTAGCGTGACTTGGACAAGTCTTAATGGCTGGGATTTGACTTAGTCTCCACTGACATTAGTCTCAGACTGATCAGCCACACAATCAGCTTTCCCCTGCAGATTCCCCCCTTTTCTCCAAGAGGTGCTGATCCAGCTCTCGCAGCTGCTTCAAAAAGCCCCAGTTAGGGATGATACGCCTGCGTTTTTTTACGTGCTCTATGGCGTCGACCACCGTCATGTTCTCACAGATCATGAGATAGGCGAGGAAAAGTGTGGCGGACCGACTCCTTCCCATCACGCAGTGCACCAGCAGTTTATCTGCAGACGAATCAGAGAACAGATTCACGGCATGTTTTAGGCAATTTTCAGCCAAAATATTAGTTTTTTCCTGTGCAGCTGTCTTACTCTGAGGATTGCTCAGTGTCTTCTCAATAAACTGGGCAGCGGAGAAAAAATACTGGCTGAGGTCAAAGGTTGCGACGTCTTCTGCTACTACACCATAGTATACAATGTCCATGTCACTGTAGTAGCCAGCTCCAGTGTCCACATTGTTCCACGTCCCCTCTGCTGCATTCAGGATGTGCGTAATTCCCAGCTTCTTCAGTGTGTACTTGTCCTTTGCAGTGTCCCTACAAGAAGCCAGTGTCAGTATCGTTTTAATCCTGTTATTTTTATTCAGTTTAGACATTTTATGCTTTTAGAAAAACTTTTTCTTACTTACTCATCCCCAATAAAGACATTAGGCCAAACCTCGTTGACATGAGTGTAAGCCACACTCCCTCGGTTGAGGATTTTCTCCAACTCATAGCCCCCAGGTGTGGAATAATCATCCACTGGACTGGATTCCTCAGCTGCCCAAGTAACATTTATCTTTGTGCCAGTCTTCGACTCGCGAGAAGCCATTTTGTCACCGTGGCTTCCTCTCACACATGATTTATTTGCTTAAGGAGAAAAAGAAATGCCACACTTGCTTTTTTATTTTTTCTTATATTCCTCCACTCCTCAAACTACTGTCATAAAAAAAAGCACAGTTTTTGCTTTTTTTGTTTTTCACATGCATCTTCAGCAGCACTCACCCGGAGATTGAAGTCCTTCGTTTTTCTTCCCGGGAATTCGGTTTTCATCATTCTGGCAGCTGGTTGTGAAGCAGCCCTTGAAGGCAGAACATGGTAAGGTTTTAGTTCTGGCAGGCTCAAGTCAGGGCACAGATTGTATAACCGCTCTGTGACGGGCATCAAATGCAGAGGATATTTTTAGGGCTGTGATGTGGCGGGCCCCTGACCTTAGCTGCCACGTTCTCTGCCTGTGGGGAAAACTTCCACCCAGCCAGTCCCTGCCATCCACTTCTGAACACACAACTTTAATCTCTGCTGCTGGCAGGAAGCTGTGCTTATCCAAACTTTGCACTTGCCAAAGGATACCCATATTCACTGGAGTAAACAGGGCACTCTGAGCTTTTGCTCAACCGTACGAGCGAGTCCTTGAAATTGTGTCAGTCTCTCTTAGCCTTTCTGCATATCTTCAGACGCTGGGAGAAGCTGTGTAAGCACAGCCTCACAACACCCGTTAAGGATGTTCAGCATCTTCTGGAGCCTCTCGGGGGCCAAATGAGAACTGAAATGTGTCAGACTGTTAGACAGATGAGGTTTTTCGCAAGATGGCACACGTCTTTGATTCCCCATTATATGATATGCACAGTCCATTCAGTGATCTAAATGCAAGCCCCCAAAGTGAGAGTGTGATGATGGCTGTATTGCAGGATGGCTAGATGAAGCTGCTAACATGTCAGACAGAGTTTTCACACCATCAAACTCCTTTATTTTTCCCTCATATCTTCATACTCTGCCATCATTCATTCTGACAGTGAAATCATTAAACCTGTGATATCCAATTCCTTTTATTTTGACAGCATCTCTCTCCCAGCGAGCTCTGGAGAGCATTTCTTATTAAGATGGCTTCAGTGTTTCATCTCTTTTCAAAGTCTGACCTGAATCTGTATACATGCTCAGAAAGCATGCTGGCATATTTTTGTCATCTTGTATCAAGACTCTTTAGACACATCACAGTTTTAACTGTACGTCACTGGATTGTAGCAGTTAGGACGCAGTATTTTGAGAAATGTGAATAAGTAAGTGGAGCATTGTTTATTTATAAGCATGCACTGTCTGTGTGTTGTTCCAGTTCAGCAGGGGTCTTGATCTTGATTGTGCTGTGCTTAAGACTTGAGCCTAAAGGCCCATGCCGCTGTTTTTTGCACATTTAGCTCCTTGCGTGCTTTGCGTTACTGGTGAACAGGTCAAGTATGAAGAAGTGGAGAGGAAGATGTTCAGATTTAAAATCTGAATATAATACAGATTAATATAACACAAATATTTGCTTTTTTTTGTAATTTACCCGAGTCTGTTGAGATCTAAAGTCTGTAGCACTTTGCGCCAGTGATCAGGAGCAGAGATAAGAGGTGGCCAAGGGTGGCCCTGGCCCCCACAGAGTTTGCAGGTCACAGAAAAGTCTGGCTACCCCAAACACAACACACACTTTTTGCAAAATGATTTCTCTTCTGTTGTTGTTCCTACAATAAACAACAGCTTTTTTTTAAATTAATTAAACAACAGTTTTTAATTAATCAAGGGTTATCGAAATATAAAGGAATGTTATATAGTAGTGTGCAAAAGTCTTGAGCCATGCCTTCCTTTTTTAACTTGAAAATGGAAAATGGGAACTGCGTGCAGTGAAACATTTGCACACTGAAACGTGCAAACATACATGGAAATATAGTATTTTAGGCAAAAACGGAATTCTAATGAGCTTCAAAGTCAAAGTATTTGGTATTTAGTCTTTGACACAGTCTGAACAATCTAAGAAAGTCTTCTTGTCAAATCGTCTCCAGGCCTCTTGAAGGACATTCAAAGCTCTTCTTTGGATTCTGGCTGCTATTTAGTCTGTTCTCTGTCAAGATGATCCCACACTGCTTCTATAATGTTGAGGTCTGGGGAGGACCGATGTCATGACTGTATTTTTCTCTACGGATATGCTTTTGCTACATTTTACTAGTTTTCCCTCATCCTTACTGGTCACAGCAGATGGCTGCTCTCCACAAACTGGTTTTGTCCATGATTTCCTCTTAAAAAGGAGGTTTCTTTCTCCAAGTGCTTGCACAGAGATCTGTGGCTCATCGGGTTAATGTGTCATTTTGAAGGGTGTTTATCTTGCAATATAAAACACCTTAAGACAGCTATTGTTAATAAATAAAGAGCAGTTTATTATTAATAACAATAATAGCGAAGAACCATCACTTTTTGTGACGTGTATGGCACTGTTTGAGCTGTGTAGTCCGCCATAGTGAGCAGTAATTGTGCATTCATTTTTATTAAAATTATATAATAAGCTATTTTTTTTTAAATTTAGTCTAATCATAAACAGCATTATATTACAATATGAGCTTTTGAAGCAATCAATTACACAGCTCATGCATAAGTGGGCTGATTGACTTTCATACTTTTCAATTATGGAAAACTGAGAAAATAAGAAATCACCCAGAAATCTGCAGTGATGGATTCTGGTTTGTAAAATGGAGAATTGTAGTGTGAAAAACACAAAGAGATTAAAAAATAAGGCTTGAAATAGTCTCAAATACAATGAGGTTCTGTTTGTGTCAAAAATGAACTGAACATGACAGGATTGAAGTCTTTTTAACTTTCAGCGGACTTTATTTTAGTGTTGACAAACCCTTTCTGACAGGCAGACTGTCTGTGTTGATCGCTCACCTGACAAAACATTTGTCTGTCAGTTCTACTTTGTGCTCTGCATGTTGTGTGTTTAAGCGTGCTATTATGAACGCTGATGTATCGCTTGACTAAGCTAAGCAAAATCCCATCAAGCCAAGTTGGATTACATGGTGCTTTAATTCACTTAAGATGCGAGTGCCCGAAGCCACCCAAATGGAGCCACCAGGACGATTTCATCTGCACAGATAATGTCAACTATGAAACTGTCCCCTTTTTGGCATTATGTGCTCTACTACGTGAATAGGGATGAGTCCAGCTCACGGAGCTGGTTCAGAAATCCAACATTTGGGAGGATGTTTCTGTGCCGGCACACAACCTCCACAGCCTCCACCAGTGTGAGCCTTTCTTTGATCATGAGGAAGGCCAGTGTAAGAGCTGCCGAGCGGCTGATTCCCCGAGCGCAGTGGACGAGCACCTTCCCTGCACGGACAAAAGGCAGACTCTAAAATAAGCTGCGAATTCTGCGGCTCGTTGGGTTAAACACAAACAACAAAGGGATTAATTACAACTGTGGGCTCAGCTCACAGTGTAACAGTCACAAAAGGTTCTTTTCACAGCAGAAATGATGACATATGATGACACAAACACAGGTGCTGTCATAGCATTAATAGTGTTTACGTGTCCTTGTAGTAATTGCTCACAACTTTAACTCTCGCTACCATTTTAAATTGATTTTATTTCAAATTATTGTTCTTCTAAATGTTTGTGCAATGGGGAAAAATAGAAGCCTTACATTTTTAAAATAAAAGTTAAAAATAATAAAACATTGTGAAATTATTTTAGATTATAGAGAGCAGCTGGAGTCTCCGCACACGACCCGGAAGCAAAGGCAATTATTTATGTTTTCATGCATTTAAATATGTGCAACAAAACATAAAATATCATTATTACACATCATTTTTCAGCTTGATGATGCATCATTTTTCTATATTAGGATGTGTTGGACTGTAACATATTATTAAAGCTCAATCCTTATGTGTTTATTTTGTCATGTGTTGCTAAAATAGACTGGTACCTTTTTGGCTCCGAGCACCATGAATAAAATCAGCCGTCTCACTGAAGAAAGGGCTCAAGTCAAAATCTTTACAGTCTGGTGCTTCTACTCCGTGATACAGTATGCTGGCGTCGGCGTAGAAACCTGGCCCGGTGTCAATGTGCTGGGGGCCATCTGCAGCATTCACCACGTGTGTTATTTCCAGTTTCGCTAACAGGGTTTTATCCCGAGCTGCAGCCCTGTAAATGACATGGGAGAGGCTATGAGAAATGTCATTTTTAGCGATTTTTCTCGCCTGTGTGCAGCTCCGGAAGCATATGTGTGCAAATGCATCACCGGTGACTCAAATGTACAGATTTTATATTTGTCCCATCAGTTGGCCAAATACACTTGTTTGCAGCGACAGTTTCACAATCAGATCACCATATTGCAGTTAGGGGCCCCCAATGTGAGAATGTCACTTACGCATCTCCGATGTAGAGGTTGGGCCAAACCTCGTTGACAGCTCCAGTGGGGCGTCTGTTCTTCAACAGAAGGCTGAGCAGATCGCAGGTGGGTGGTGTCTGATAGTTTGGCTCCTCCTTTGAGGTCATATCTGTATCTCTCTCACCTCAGTGTTTTTATATAATTATCACTTTCACTCAACTCAGTACATAGATAAATAACTTTGCAAGATACTTTATGTTCCAGGATGCAAATGTTGATTATTTATTACTGCTGTCCTGCTGGTGTTTCTTGCTGCAGGCTTTTGAGACAAACCAACAGTGAATACTAACCTTACTGGTGCGGCTCGCGCTGTTTTACATCTGAGCTGGATATCAGTGTTGTTTCGAGGCTGAGCCCCACTGGAACGAGACAGCTGAACATACCAGAGACTGGGCACAAGCAGTGTGGACTATTTATTCCTCAGATGACTGTGACAGAAGCCAGGCTGCTTGTGCTGTGATAAATTCGACTACTGAGCCGTTGCAGTTTTAATGGTTGTAATAGTGCAAGTGATCCAAAACATGGTGGGGAATTAATGTCAGGGTGCCACGCTGAACGAGCTCAAACCACAGTTTGAGCTCAAACCACAGTTTGAGCTATTGCAGATGGCGTTGCTGTGTCTCTTTATTTTAAATCATCTGATGAGAATAAATGAATGACTTCCTATTTTGCCTGATGTTGTCGTCAACAAATTATTAAAGTCCTGTCTTTGATTGCATAGGTTGCTCCTGTCATTATGAAGAACACAAAGATTATATAAGCTATACTGAGAGTTAAATTTCTGGAGTGAAGGTCTGAGTCAGTATGTTAAAGATAATTTAAACTGCTGAGAGAAGCGAACCACACTGTGCTGTTGACAAGACGATCTTTAGGAAAGCGTACATTTAGTAGCTGCTTTTAAACTCTCCATCATATTTCATGAACTTCATTAGAAAACGGAGTTTTCTGATGGTAAAGTCTGACTTTAAAAAAGTTTTAAAGAAAGTTCATGAAAATACAAAATAAATTCCTCACGTTGCTGTGTGTGCATTCCATATTATATAGACTAAACAAAATAACAGATGTTTTACAGGTGCAGTAGTAAATATTGGATGGGCAGGAAAAAAAGAATAAAGAAGAAACTTTGTACAAAACTCTGTACACACTGACTGTTTTTATAGGAATTAAGAGGTTAGGGCAGCAGCCAGGTGCTGCTAATCAAATGGATTTGATTAACTGATCATCAGCAGTGCAAGCGCCTCTGTAAAAGCAGGGCTTTGGCAGGCTTGTGTTAACACAATGCCACAGTCTTCTCAGCAAATTCGGTACAATGCTCGGGTAAACCTCAGGAAACTCAAGATTTACATCTCAGACTCCGCAGGGCTCAGTTAGGAAAGTAAATGTTAAACTTCATGAAGGCCAATTTTGAAGAAAGGCTGAACAAAAGTGTTTAGGAAGGCTGTCAGCAGAAAACCTCTTTTCTGTCTGGAAACCTCTGGAACAGTGTCTGGTGATGTTTGTCCATAATCCACTGCAGCAGAAAACTGAACACAGCATATCAGCACAAAACTTCATATCTATTGTGAAGCACAGTGGTGGAGGGCTGATAATTTGGGCTTGTCTTGCACCCTTGAGACATATACACCTTTCAGTTATTAAGCTAACCATGAACTCCTCTACCAAATTATTCTAATGTCAAATATGAGACCATCTGTCTGATGGCTAAAGGTTGGCTGAAACCGGACAATGATCCCAAGCACAAGAGCAAATCTACATTCAAACGGCTGAAAAAGAAAAGAATGAAAGTGCTGTGATGGCCCAGTCAAAGGGCTGTATTTGACTGTATTCGTTAAAGGGCAAGAACTGTAGCATTTGTATGACTACACTATTACACTCACTCACTGTCAAGTAAACATTGTAGTGTAATCTGTGACTGTATAACTCACTGAGTGCAGTAACTTTTCTGTTGTTTCTCAAACACAAATGTAACTTAACTGTTCTAATACATAAATATTTGAAGTTTTGAAGCTCTATAAAGGCACACATTTTTCACTGCAGACTGGAGACACAGGCACAGATGGGGAAGAATTTCAACAGTTAAACACAAATGTAATCTTCTTTGTGTTTTGTGTTAATTCTGATTTTGTAACCTTAAAACCTCACAGTCGTCCTTTTGTGTCATACTTTTGGGTATTTTGAGCTAATAATTTAAGCACGTTTTGTTCATATAACTTAATTGTTAATGTTTAAAAATCACTCTTCATCAGGTTATTAAATTTTCTTACCTTGAAGCCCTTTAAATACAGCTGAAGTATCTGTTCATTACAAAAACATTATCACTGTAATAGCTTTTTAACACTCAGACATGGACAGGGGTCAAAAATATTATCCAAATTTATGGACTGAAGGATTTTATTTTTACGTCCGCCCGTTGAAGCTCCTGGATAATCCCTGGCAGTGGAGCTTTGTGTCCAGTGCTCGGAGCTGCTCCAAGAACCCGTTATTGGGAGAAATGTTCCTGTTGGCGCCCACAGCTTTGATGGCGTCCACCAGAGTCATGTTCTCGTGGATCATCAGGTAAGCCAGAACCAAGGTGGATGAGCGGCTGAGGCCCATTGCACAGTGGACGAAGACTTTACCTGCCAGTCAGAAGGCAGAAAATCAGACTTCCTGTGGATCATTTCAGAACGCAGCCAGCCTACCAGCCTACGCGCAATCAGTGGATTATTGTTGTAAAGTTTGTTTTAAATATCTAATTTGTAACTCCTCTGTGGATTAAAAACTGTGCACATCACAGGGAGGAGTACTTCTTACTCCCGACTAAAAGTTTTCAACAATGTTGCAACAAATGTTTCTACACACGGTAATCCCTGGTTCCTTATCAGGCCTGAGGATTAGGGCGCAGAGGAGCGCGTAATTGAACTGTCTTGGCTTCTGTGTATTTCTGCCGGGGATTACTGTAGGCCCCGCCACACACTGGAGCCCCCGATCAGCCAGCATGTGAAGAAGGAGGCCTCATCTTATTACTGTCATGTCAGATACTGACTTCACTTTGCATAACAGGCCAGGCAAGCACAGGCCACAAACATAATTGTGTAATTTCCATGTCCAATAAAAGTGTTGCTTACAAATTGCCAGGGCAATCCATTTAAAACCAATTTTCCTGGCCGAGGTCTGAGCTTATGAGAAGATTACCATGGGGGAAAGATATTAGCTTGATATTATGTTTAGTGTTTGATTTGCATTTTAATGACTGATACAACTGGGGTCTGCTGTAAATGGGAATTGACTGACAAATGTTTCTCTGCCTTGGCTCGTCTTCCCCGAGTTAATGTGTGAAAACGATGAAGGATACCTTGAGCGCTGTGAGAGCGCCTCACCTGTGGGAGAGCTCAAAGCGCTCTTGATGAAATTGGCCGCTGGGTAAAAGAAGGGACTCAAGTCAAAGGATGGCATGTCAAAAGCTTCGACTCCGTGATAAGTGATCGTGGTGTCTTGGTAGAAGCTGGGCCCTGTGTTCACATTGAACTTCCCATCAGCTGCATTAAGCACGTGGGTGATGCGATGAGCCTGGAGAGTCCTTTTGTCTTTGGCTGCGTACCTAAAGGGAAAAATTACAATTATCTCTGCAATCAAACTAAACAAATGATGAGGATAAAGCGAAGAAAACTAACTCGAGGAGAAGAAGGAAGATGGCAGGCAGTGGGGGAAAATGTAGATCATTAGGTTAATTAACTGAATTGTTATAATATTACATTTTATTATGAATGATACAGAGAGACTGCACAGTGCAGTGCACAAGACGCAGTCCCTGTTTTTTGCCCTTTAAGGGGGTATTTTTTCCTCTGTGGTTACACATATAGTAATGCATATAATATATCTGTCAAATGCCCTACCTTATCCTTCTTAGTTTAATCAAGATCTCTTCATGCATGATATGAAAAGTAAATATTATGTTGTGATGTGAATCTTATGTTTCACTATATCCCAAAGGTGCTCTATTGGATCGAGATCTGGTGACTGTGGAGGTCATCCGAGTGCAGGGAACTGCTGGAAGCAGCCATCAGAACATGGGTACACTGTGGTCATAAAGGGGTGGACACGGTCAACAACAATACTCAGGTAGCCTGTGGTGTTTAAATAATGCTCATTTGGTATTTAAGGAGACATAACATTACACTTCCACCACCAACAACCTGAACGTTTGATGCGAGGCAGGATGGATCTATGCTTCTAATGATTTTTATGTCCAATTCTGACCCCACCAGCCAAATGTTGCAGCATGAGTGTCACCCAGTGTGGTCTTCTGCTACTGTGGTCCTTCAGGGTTCAGAGATGCTCTTCTGCATACCTTAGTTTTAATGAGCTATTGTTACCTTGTTATCAGCTCAAAGCACTCTTGACATTATATTCTATATTCTAACTCTTTGGATCAACAAGACGTTTTCTCCCTACGAACTGCCGCTCACAGGATATTTTCTCTTTTTTTGGATCATTATCTGTCAAAACTAGAGACGGTACTGTAATCACAAGACCAGCCCATCTGGCATGTCCTATGCTATGTTCAAAGTCACTTAAATCACTTTTCATCTCCATTATGATGGTCAGCTTGAACTTTAGCAGGTCTTGTTGACTATGTCTGTATGCCTAAATGCACTAAGTTGCTATCACTTGATTGGCTGATTAGATAATTGCTAACAATTAGCAGGTGTACCTAAATATTCTATGATGAAGGCAAAAAACTGGCCATGTATCTAAAAATAAAAATAGACAGTATGCTACAAAACAGTATTCATAAAACAGCTACTTTCATTATTGTAAAGTTGGATGTTAGCATGTTAGCATAAGGCTACTACACACTATTCACATGGGCATTAGCACTTGGATGACTATATATAGTTGTGATGAAAGCTTGTTAATGTTTTGCACATTAGTGTGATAACCAGGTGCTTTAAAAAAAAAAGATAAATTTCAATAATGTAAAAATCATAATGGTGCCTTTAATTACACATGCACTCACAATCTGAGCCCAATTAAGAGAATACTTAATTACTTTATTACAAAAGCCGGTGGAATTTTATTTAAACACATTAGCCATAGTGAATTATTTTAGTAACATGTCACTCTCACATGTCTCCGATGTAGATCCCGGGATGAACCTCATCCAGATGGTTACTGGACCCTTTTTTTGTCCACATCAGTCTCTGAAGCTCTGAAGCTGGGGGGGTTTCATACCGGCCTTCTGCCCCCTCAGGGCTCGCCAGGCAGCTGAGGCCTCTGGGCATGTCTGAATTCTCCACTTCTGCTTTTACAACCTTTCATTAAGAAAAGAAGTGGTCGTTGCCCTGAAATTTGAACCGCGATAAAAACTGAGAACTCAATAAAAGCGTATGTTTTACTGCACTTTGCCCTTTACTACACTTCAAACTTTAAGAAAGATGCTCAAAGAGTTTCAGGGTTCATCTGCATTGCCCATGAATACCAACTAACTCCACTGAAATGCCTAATTGAAATGTACGCATCATCTTAGGAAACACCGAGAAACGACTGCTAAGTGCAGCGTGGGATTATAGCGAGGATCGTTAATTAGCAGGTTTCATATGCAGGTCTGTAGCCTTTAAATACATACCGCAATTATGACAATTAACGCATTCCACAGTAGCAAAGGATCATATGATTGTAAGCTGACCTTATGATGCTCTCATTATTGTATCTATATAGCAGCGCTGGATAGATTTATTTATTTCCAGAGATGCAGAAAATTGACATTCAATGCCTATAAACCACTTTTTATTTGCTGCAGGCAAGTCTAACCTGTGCATTTACAATTTACACACTGAGCTCTAGAGAGACTCGTACTATGCAAACTGTATGCATTAGCATCCATTTAGGCAGGTGTGTGACTGTGCTTGAGGCTGTGGACGTACAAGCGATGTGTAGGCATTGTTATCGAAAAGAAACTAACAGCAGCCGAGCTTCTTATTTGCATTCTCGCCGCGTGTGGAGACATAATGTTGCTCTCAGGGTTTTGAGACTTTTTGTCGTGTCCACAGGGATGAGTCATTGAGACCAAATCTGTTTTAGTGACCTTTTGTTTCGCTGCTGTGACATATGGAGGTTTACTCAAACATCGTGTTGCCTCTATCTATCCCTGCGTGTGCATTCTTGTGTGTCACACAGAACACGTGTGCATGAAGGAAATGCTGCATCTAACGCAGTGTAAGCTTCATGCATACGATTGTGTGAGCTAAATGGTGTCTTTGCACAGGTACAACATGCGCCTCGCGTACCTGGAGGCTCTTCTTTCTCCTCATTGATCTATAAGCACAACCCTTTCCTGCCTCCCACACTCAGGGGCAGAGAACTGATTTCCCTGGTGCGCATGTTGAGCTGCAGCACTGCTTTCATACCCTCTCCCCTTAGGCTAACCTGTCCTTCCTGCTCCACTTCTGTGTAATTAAAGATGCTATGTATGGGAAAGTGCCCGCGGTTAACATGGAGGGCAAATAAAAATGGCTTTTTACCTCCTCTGGGCCTCTTCTTGGTGGTTTTATGAATTACACTTCCCTCTTTAGCCTTTCAAATGTGGTTCATCTGGATTTGTGGGCCAATTAATGAAAGAAGAAAGTATCATAATCCGTCAGGCAATGCAGTATCACAGTGAATACTACTTCACAAGTACTCTGTCAACATGTTTATCTTGCAAATAAAGCTATACAGTGCAACAAATCCACACACTTATGAATATACATCGCCTACATTTATCTGTAATCAATTTGTAAGCACACATTGTTGGTTGACACTTGCCTTGGTTGGAAACGTTGCTTTTCACGGCCTCTCTGTACAACAGCTACATGTAGGTCGACAGCACAACTGCCTGTGTTCTCCTTGGTAATCTACCCTGCAACCTTTTTTGCTATTTTAACATCTGAATCTCAGCCCAAAATAATTCTGGCACCATATTCTGCATTCCTTAAAGGTTACCCGAGCTGCCAGCACAGGAGGGAGGATAGGACACGGCTTTTTCAATAGCGAGAAAATTAGATCAGAGCTGCTTGTAGCTGAGTTTAAACCTGACTTCCCTGAGCTTTCTTTCCACTTTGAACTGTGTTTAAATCAACACTCGGTCATTCGATGTAAAAAAAAAAGAAGTATAGATTATGTTTTTTCTTGGTGCAATTAAATGATAGTAGAGATTTTTTTCTTAATTATATCAGCAAAAATGGGAACTTGCAATAAACCCACAATATTGACACTGATGAAGTTTTAAAAAGCTAAAAAAAAAAACCCCCACATATTTATATTGCAGAAAAATGACACAAATATAGATGGATGAGCAAATACAAACATTTCTTTGTAAAAATGTCTGCATTTATTGTATGTTTTTGTAAGCACTGACAAAGTTTATATCTAGAAATTGAACGTGTGACTTATAATTCTGTGTATAATACTGTACATTCTTGCTTACTGTGAATGTTTGATTCAGAGAAACATAATGATTCAAAACAGGTCGAAATCATTGGTGTCAAGCTAGATGAATGTGTGTGTACCTTTGCCTCTACAGTTGATTTCATGGGCAATCAAAAGACCTGAAACCTTTTCATGCACAGCAGTGATCAACTGCACTGCCTTGACAAATACACCAAATGAATTTCACACGCTGTGAACAGCGATGTGTTGAACAGATGCTGTTGATTGATTCCCTCTTTTCTGAGTTACCTAGAGACTCTACTAAAATGTTATGCTTTGCAAAACATGTTCCATTAGACATTTGGTCTACTCTGTTGTTGTAGAAGAAAAAACTTCTTACAAGAATGAGAAGTAAAGACTTGTCTCAGTGTTGTAAACACGCCCTGTTGTCATTTTACTTGACATTAAATTTATTTCTGCAACCAGACTCTCTTTTTGTTAAGACATAAAAAAAACCCAACAACCTCGCTGCATTAAAAATCCCAGTTAGCAGGCTAATGAGGAGATGATGCAGCTTAGTCTATTATAAATGAAGATCACTGGATTTGGAGAAAGATAATTAAGCTATTTTCGTGCCAGCATCTGCTTTCGTTGGGCTCAAATGTCCATGAACAATACTGTGCGAAACCCTTGAGCCACCTCTCATTTTGTATATTTCGATAGGAAAAACAAAATTGGTAAATTTATTGATACATGTATAAACATACATAGAGAGTTTGTACAATTCTAACGAGAAATGTATTTGCTATCACCATCATTTTTTTCTTTAACACAACCTAAGTCAGGTTTAATAATTTCTTTAAGTAGTCTTCTGGAATAGTTCTCCAGCTGCTTCAAGGACATTTGAAGCTCTTCTTTGGATGTTGGCTGCCCTTTATTCTGTTCTCTGTCAAGATGATCCCGCTCTGCTTGAGGTCCAGGCTCTGAGGAGGCAGATCTGTGACTTATATTGTGTCTTTTTTCTATCCAGCTATGCTTTTACATCGGAGGTAGTGTTTTTAGGATCAGTGAATTGCTGATGGTAATATTGATAATATTGGCTGAAATGCAGACACTCACTGTTGTTGTTCTCTCCTGACCTCCTCTATAAATACTGATGATTAAATAATAATCACTCCATTAGACCTGTTGCAGCTCATTGTCAGTCCAGTTTTTGTGTAATTTGGCATAACCAAGTCTTTTCTACTTGCTTTCATCTCTTAAGAACACTTTCTTGACAGCCACCCTTCAACTAAGACCTGAGACATGGCTTTCAGATACTGTTCATCTCATGTAGATACGTGCCTGCCACTTTTTTCACCTCACTTCATCACATTTTTAAGCACACACTGCACACAGTGCTCAGATTTGTTACGTTTTTGGCTAACAGTCCACTGGGAGACACCTTGTTGGTGCAAAAAAATTATGTCTGTCAAAATGTGTTATCTATGGTAATTTTTCCAGAATCAACGAATGAAATGGGAACTGGCTGTTTAGTTTCGCAACAGGCTGCTAGTAACACAGTGCCTAAACCCCCCAAAGAACTTTCTTCTGAAAATGGTCAAGTTCAGTGACTGAAAATGAATGAAAAAGCAGCCAATGCCCTCTCTCTTCAGAAAGCCTGGAGAATGATTGTTTGTTCCAGTCCCTTAAAAAATACTACAAGAAAGTTTCCTCCACGGATTCAAAATATAAACAAATGTGAGGTAGTTCAACGCTAACATTCTGTAGTATTCAAGTATTATCATAGCATGTTTATTTGCTACTCTTTAGCTTGTAATCATGTAGCATGTAATCTTTATGAGCCTGTATAGGCCTATGTTGACATTTGAAAATCTCCTTTAATATGAACTTTGCTATCTATCTATCTATCTATCTATCTATCTATCTATCTATCTATCTATCTATCTATCTATCTATCTATCTATCTATCTATCTATCTATCTATCTATCTGAGCTTGTTTAGAATGGTGAACCTCATCATAATAAAAGTAAAGACTAATGAGTGTACCGAGTTTGTCTCCTGCCATTAACGTTTGGCATTTCAGTAACATATAAATATAAAAACAAGCACTGATAGTTTATTCTGTGTGATTTGTGCAACTTTGATCTCTGTTAGTGATGTGGACAGCTGAGTCGACAGAAATTCACTCAGTCGAACCAAATTTCACGATGATGTGTCTAAACGTTTCAGTCTGGACTGTTGCACCGACAGACTGGCTGGCATCGTTATTCCCAGAAACCACCGCGTGGCTTTGTGGCTGAAGATGTAAATGCCTCTTTTCACTACAGGATCCGACATGTTTTCTTTTTCTTTGTCAGTTGAAGATCCAGATCCAACAGCAAAGCCAGGAAATTTCTGTTGGGGTAGATGGCTCTTTTCTGGATCAGCTTCTGCAAAGCCTGTTTGAGTGGGAGATGATGGTAGATCATGAGGTATGCCAAAACCAAGGTCGATGACCGGCTCATTCCCATGATGCAGTGCACCAGAACTTTCCCTGAAGAACAGGCAAGATGAAGGGAGGGATGTGAAGAAAGGATTAGCGAGAAGCCTCAGACTTATTAATATCATACATGACTGCCCGTCTCACGCTGTGGTCTTTCTTTTTCCCTGCTGCGAGCTAAAAATAGTGCCTACAATTCACTCTTTGTTCATTTAAGGTCCCTTTGCAGACTGGGCCCAACTGTCTCCTTAATCCCAACCCGTCCGCTGCTTGATAGCTTCTTTGAAAAGAGCCATGGTCACATTATATACCTAAATTCTGCAAGGTAAGACTCTTATTATTACAGCTAGCTGAAAATACACTTAAAGCTGTCTTACATTGTGCTGACAGGTGACATTGAAAGGACAGCGCGGTGGGAGAATTTGAGTGGAATGAGTGGGTTTACTGTAATAAGGATTTGCAGAGTTAAATAAAAGATGTGATATACAGGGATTTGAGAAAGGAAAACTGTAGCACTTGTAATACTATATTAAAAGCCTCAAGGAGTCTTACCATCAGGTGACTTCAGAGCTTTGTGAATGAAATCGGCTGCAGGCTGAAAGTAAACATCCAGATCAAAGTGTGTCGAGTCATCTGCTGGAATGCCACAATACACAAAGTCGTTGCCATAAAAGCTTTGGTTCCCTATGCTGCCTCGCTTGGAGTGAGCAGCGTTTAATACATGAGTTATACCTAATTTCAGCAAGGCAGCCTTGTTTTGGGCTACTGCCCTAGCAAGACAAAGAGACAGAAAGAGGTTCAAGACTTATGGGAACTCTACGCATCACAGCACAATGATTTTTATGCCAGAGTGAAACAATACGTGGAAGCAGTTATGTCAAAGAAAACAGCCTTTGCAAGGCAACCGAATCATCTGAAATAAAAGTACATACTTACACATTTCCTATGTATATGTTCGGCCACACTTCGTCAATTTGATTGAGGTGCAGCTTGCAAGAGTCCAAAAGCTTCTGCAAATCCTTCACACTTAGATATTCTTTTCTCTTGCTTCTCAGCGCTGACATTTTAAAATCCAAATCCCTTGTCTTGGATCGATCACTGGTCCAAATGTTTGTTGTTTTAAAGCGGTTCCCCGTCTTTCTCCGGCTCAAGATGATGTGCACGAGCAGGTGTTTATCTGCTATCACTGGACAGTTACCCAATTTAGTACATAACCTAGCGTGTAGTCTTACTCGTGCAGAGGGCAGAACAACAAACACTGCAGCCGGGGCTTGTGCTTTTCACACCACGGCGGGACTGAGATTTAATAAGCCTCAAACAGATGAATCATGACATAAATGAGCGATAACTAAATGTAATTATGGGCAAAATGTTTAAGTGAAGTGATTGTGCTGTGTGATAGAAAGTCCAGTGTGATTCAGCGGTTATAGAAGAGAAAGAGGGTAACAGCTTCATGCAGCTAGTTTACGCTCTGACACAAATATCATGTGAAAGCAAAGTGGAAATTGAAAAAAAAAGAGAGAGAAAAGAGCTTTGCTGTGGGCTGTTCATGACATTAAACAGCCTCTCATGCTGTGCAAATGTCTATTTTAACTCCTCTATTATGTTGCAGGTCAATTTCACCCATTTTAGCTTTAAAAAACTAATTAACTTCCCCCTCGCACCATGAAATGTAATGACTTTTCTTCATTCGGAGTCATGAATGTGTATGTAAAATGTGGGTGCAGTGGCGTGTTGTTGAATACCAGTACCAATGTTGGATGCAGAATCAGTCAATAAATGTCTTCGGGTCATTTTTAACCTGGAGACGGTTATTGATTGATAATTCAAAGTGCTGCTTCTCCTTGTTGAAGACTCTAGAGTGGTGTGAAAATGTGTGTGTGTGTGTGTGTGTGGGGGGGGGGGGGGGGGGGGGGAATGCAGCTGAATATGTATGTGAAACTTTAAGAATGTGATCCATAAATGCTAGAGAAAGAGTAGTTTGACAAGCATGGTGTGATTGTGCGTTTGTTCCCTTTGAGCTTTCTGGTTGAGAAGCTCTTTTACAACCATTTTAAGAATAGTTATTCTCTACAAGAGACACTTAAGAATGAGCTCCAGACAATTCACCAGACACTAAAAATTAGCTTTTGTTCTCGAGAACAGCGGTAATGTAGAGGGAGATGTTTCTGAGCAGTTGGTGATTCAGGATATCTGTGAAGAGGCTTCTTCTTGCTAAGAGACCATTGAAATCAAAAGACTGTCAGGCTGTATAGTCACTTTCGTCGGAGGAAACCCAAAGCACATTGTCACATTCCAAAGACCTGTGTTATCTGAAAAAGATCCCCAGCCTGCTAGGTTTTGATGCACGCAGCCATCACCAGCGGGGATGGAGGGAGCCCATTATACCTGAGACTCGGAGGCAAGGTTGAATCTTTATTTATTTTTTTTCTCTCTTCTAATGTGCAAAAAAGTTAGGTGTGCAAAATTCTGAACAGATTTCCCCATTATCAGCTGCAAGGAATGTGATACATGCTGAAGAGACACGTGAAGGCTGCTGTGCTTTGTCTCGTTAATAAGATAATGAAACCGCCACCACTTGCTGGAAATGCCAGAAAATAAAACCTTGATCCTGCTAACACTTGGTTTTAAGATGTGTGTGTGTTTTTTTTAATGTGATAACAATGGAAATTCAACTGCTAAAATCTCATGTGAGGTTTTCCAGGATGCATTTAACCAGGGTCCTTTCATCATGTGTCCACATATGCCCTTGACAGGGATGCCATGTAGGAAAATGTGCCATTAGCAAAGGATTTAGTGTTCCTTTCGTGTCTTGCCCTGTGACGTTTTGCATCACTTTGACCTGCTAATCTTAACAGTGTTTTTATTTATTTATTATTCCTTAGCTAGCTTAGCAAGTCAGGAGTGTGGCAACAGACTGACATAATGTCTGTGCAGTGGTTAGCTGAATCCTCATGTTGGTGTTGTTTCTACATTATCATAACAGTGTTGGTTAAGGATCAACATTGTCTGCACATTCAGTTAGCATAAGCCAAGAAGTTGCTAATGCTGTTAAAAACTGTCACTAGCAAACCAACATGAGTAACCGAAAGCAAAGTTAGCTGAAAGGTTTCACTTTCTAAAATAAAACCTTTTGTTGTTTCTATAGATGATTGTCAGGTCTAGATAGGTCTTGTATCGCCCAGACTGAGCATTCAGTTAGCATTTTAACATCATTAGCGAAGAAGCTAGCTAATGCTGTTAAAAAATGTTGCTAGCAAACCAACATGAGTAACCTAAATTTGGCGGGAAACATATATACCTATACATATATTATATAAATTAAACACTTGGATGGCTTACCATTTGATTCAGGAGTGACTTTTATATTATTAAAAAAAAATCACCATTACCATCTTATATAATGTTTTACTTTTATAGTATTCCATTTCTGCCAACAAATAATGATTATGATTTATTTTATTAGTATTATTATTAGTGGAACTGATTAAAACAATCAGCTGGAGATTTGAAGACAGAAGCAACAACAAGAACTGTGGATTTGACCTGACGATGACATTAGTTCATGAGAGTCAACAATAAAAAGTTCCTGGGGGGATCACAGTGTCTGGACAAATTTCGGTTCAATCCATCCAATAATTTTTGGGGACATTCACAATTGTGGTAACAAAAGAAAATTTAGGACAGCTGCAAGAGAACTGCTAATATACTGATAAAAAAAAAGGCTTCCATGGTGTACTTCAGGGTTTCAAAATAAAAGTTTTATGTAAGTTTTTGTACTTACCAAGACCCCCCCCCCCCAAATTGAATAGGTTTAAAATGAAAACACACTGCAGATGAATTTCACCTGCAGCGCATTGGATAAAAGCTTCTTCAACACAACACTAAGGTTAAATAAAAACAATATCTCATAATCAGTCCCTTAAATTGATTCTGCCCAGAGGAGAGTTCATTACATTGATCTCCTATTAAGACGCGGGTCGATATTATATAGAGATGCCGCATAATTCACATCAAACACAGCGCCAGAGTTGTGGGGGAAATACATTTGATTAGATTCCATTCCTGAAACAAACTGATTAAAGTCAAAGCACAGCATTTCCTTCAACTGACACAGTCATCAAGTCTCTCATTTGTCTGGAGAAAAAGCTGTTTTGAGGTTATGTGCATTAGAAGATCTTTATTTTTTGAAGCGGTCATGAAGTCTTTTGCAGTTTCGTATCCAAAGCATGAAGCTGTTTAAGGAATCCTCTGTTTGGGAAGATCCACCTGCGCTCTTTGACCTTATTGATTGCATCTAGTAGCGTGTAATTGTGGTGGATCATTAGGTAGGCCAGGACGATGGAGGCAGACCTGCTCACGCCAACAGCACAGTGGACGAGAACTCGAGCTGGAGAGGAAGGAGAAGAAAAATATCACGGTGAGCATAAAGCATGTGGTCGATAAGGGATTTTATTCTGGATGAGACGAGCGAGAGGTCGGCGGAGGCTGACATTAAACATGATGGGTATTTACCACTTGTCGTGTCAAGTGCGTTATGAATATACTCAGCAGAGGGAAAGAAATATCGAGAGAGGTCAAAAGACGGTGAGTCATCTGCAGGCACTCCATAATAATCCACAGTGGATCCATAGAAGTAGTGACTCCCCTGACAGTGCGTCTTCCCATGAGCTGCATTCACAACATGGGTGATTCCCAGCTTCCACAGACTGTAGCGATCATTAGCTACTGACCTACAAAGAAAAAAGCAATCAGTCTTTCTAACTGGTAATTGATCTAGGCTGATTATGTTGTATAAGCCATCAAGAGCAATTTTAAAGACTTACATATCTCCAATGAACAGGTTAGGCCAAACTTCATCAACATGATTACCAAACCTTTTACCTCCATACAAAATCTTCTCAATGTCTTTCGCAGAAGGAGAGGCAGGAGAAGCTGCACTATTTTCCTGCAGGTTGTTCATTGTTGACCACACGCATATCCCTATGTATGATTTATTCTCTCAACATTTATTTTCAAACTGTTAAACCTTCACTGAGACCATGCTGGGAGCCACAGACAAGGACAGGTGTTGCTGTTCTAAAATTAAAACAGTGACCTACCTTACTCTGAATGTAGGCCAGCTTTACATCTCTAAATTTTTTTTTTAAAGTACATTTTATGTCAACTCATTATTTCTAATTTTATCATTTTCAGTTGCAAAAATACATATAGTTGTGGTCAGAAGTTTACACACACTCATCATGCTCATTATTGTCATTGTCCTTTGGGGTTTTGAATGATTTCTTTAAAGTGTTCTTTTTTCACGGTGGAATGATTGTACAGCATGCATTTTAATTTATTAAAAAAACGAGAATTGAGGACACATGTTTGAATCTATTTTGGATATTATCTAATCCACAGAGGGCCGCATGTATAGAAACTGGCTCAAATATATAAATACACCCCAACTAATTTTGGTTTAATGTCTCTTAGCAAATAACCACAACTCTATTTAATGTTTTTTGGTCATACCATTTCACACGTAAGAACGGTGTAGTACCACCTGTTCACCATAGAGTGTCACTGTTTCACTGTTGTTCAGCGTTTTCTTTTAGCGTGCGCCGCTATTCTGGACATTACCGCCTTGTGTTGTCAACAGGACTCCTAGCTAGCGCAAAGCCTGGGCGTAATGATGTCCAGCAAACTCGTGTCACTAAAGCAAATGCTAATAAGATTTCTTCTGATTCTTGTGAGATGTCACTTCGTTAGTTAGCCGGAGAGATATATTCTGTGTCATCTTCTGTTACATCTCAGACCTGGTGAGTGACCGCAAAGCACACGCATTGATTGAGCTAGCACCAGTGAGCTAGCAGTCTTTAGTGTTAAGCTCAGTTAGCCCCGTGGGCAGGGGTGCATGTGGATGCTTTCACGTTTATCTCTGGTGTATTTGTCTTTACATACTAATAGGACAGATAGTTGCCTGACAAAATACTGAGATAAGTTGACTTGGGAGTATACAAAGAGCTTCTAAGCCCGATTTAAATGCTAGCCAGTGATATATTTAAATGGGTTAAATATATGGGTTATTGCAGGTCAACTGTAGTTGCTGGACTGTTTATTTAAATTATTTTATCAAAAAACACAGAAATGTGTTGCTTTCTTGTCAGTCCAAGGAGCAGACTGTTGAGGCAGTGTTTATTTCGGTTAATAATGAAGTTAGAAATAGTAATAATGTCTTTTAATGTGAATAGGACAATAATACCCCACAAATCGTTATCTATTATCTAGCACCTTAGGATTTAATTGACTGTTTGGCCTGCGATAACATGTAGCTGCTCCTTCACTTACATTTTAGGGTGTGGTTTCCATTGTGCCTTAGGAAATCCTTGCCAGTACTTGCGTCATATAACTGCATTAGTTGTTATTACCCAGATTTCCTGTGTAACTCAGGATTTGTCTTAAATTTGTTTATCACCTATAATTTTGTCACAAAATGAATGACTTTTCTGTCTGCGCAGCAGTCTTGCATAGTGTCTTTAAAGTTACTACTGCTGATTCAGAGCAAATAAACTGTGCCTTAAACTAATCCTGAATATTATTTTGCTTGGTGTTTTGGAAGCCAATAAGGAACTGATACTGCTGAACTTCAATGTGGCTGTTCTTCTTTTTAGCCTTTGGTGTCAGGAGGAAATGACCCAGCTGAGTGTCCGTCGTTGGACACCTAAGCACGTTGCCAAGTGGTTGAAGGAAGAGGGCTTCTGTGACTATGTGGACCTGCTGTGCAACAAGCACCGGCTGGATGGCACCAGTCTGCTCGCCCTCAGTGAGTACGACCTCCGCTCGCCGCCTCTGGAGCTCAAGGTGCTGGGGGACATCAAGCGGCTAATGGTCTCCATTCGGAAACTTCAGAAACAGAACATTGATTTATTGGAGGAGCTGGGTCTTCCCTATGATGGCCACTCTCCCACCGGTTCCGGAGGCAGTTTGGACTGGTTGTGTAATGGAGACCCGGGGAGAGACTGCGACAGCACTGACACAGCACCAGTGGGAGAGGAGTATCACCAGTACACTAATGGAAAGTACAAGCAGCAGATGCGGCGCCTCGATCCCGAGTACTGGAAAACGGTGCTTAGCTCTGTCTATGTGGTGTTCGTGTTTGGGTTTACATCCTTCGTCATGGTCATCGTGCACGAGAGGGTCCCTGACATGCGCACATACCCTCCGCTCCCAGATATTTTTCTAGACAGGTGGGTGTGATCGCTCACAAGAGCTTTCTTAAATTTTCTTACAACAAAAACGTTAATCACCTCTGAAATTCCACAAACGATGATGTTTGAGTATCACACCAAATCACTGACATTATAACTGCCCTAATTCCTTGTAGCGTGTTTCTATTATTGTCCTCATATACTCCTGATGTGCTCGCTGAGGTTCAAAAAGACCTTTGAGAATTGTTTACAAGGTGACCTACTTTTGTTTATGACCAGCTTTGGGCTTTTCATGAAATGAAAACTTACCAGGAGAGATTATTTCAAGGAATTTCCAGTGTGTGTTTGGCAAGACACTGAGGCAAATTATTCAGGCTAGTTAATTATCTCCAAAAGAGATATCTTGGGAGATAACATCTATATGCATTGAAATGATTAATTAAAACTAATATACCAAAACACCAAACTAATTTTTCTGTCATGTTTGTTGTAAGATGTTAAGCAACATCAGCTATAAATGCTCACTTTCAATCTGTTATTTCAGCACTGATGTTGTCCTTTTCCGCAGTGTGCCTAGAATACCCTGGGCATTCGCCATGGCCGAGGCATGTGGAGTGATCCTCTGTAACATCTGGATGCTGGTTCTGCTGCTCCATAAACACAGGTCAGTAGCTGCTCTGAAAGATCCCAGGAGCCTGTCAGTAGCACAGGAAACTCACATTTCACTACTTCTAGGTCCATTCTCTTGCGGCGGATGTGCAGCCTCATGGGGACGGTGTTCATGCTGCGCTGTATCACCATGTTTGTTACTTCCCTGTCCGTTCCAGGACAGCACCTGCAGTGTTCAGGAAAGGTAATGCATCTTTTTTTCTCTTTTTTCTCATGTATCAGATCTCTTTGCAAGATTAGAGTATTACCTGTTTCCTTCTAGATGTACGGCGACATGTGGGCCAAACTACAGCGAGCTGTGGCCATCTGGAGCGGTTTTGGGATGACACTGACAGGGGTTCACACATGTGGCGACTACATGTTCAGTGGCCACACTGTGGTCCTTACCATGCTCAACTTCTTTGTCACAGAATGTGAGTAGCTTCTGTTTCTGTTTTCTGTGAGGAGGAAAATACCCTTGTGCTAAGATGAGTTGAAAAGGCCTTGGAATAACTTGGAATTATAATTGGAAAATGATCAATGATTTCAAAACTAATCCCTAAAAAACCCCTCATTTTGTAAGTAAATAAACATTTTAGACATTACCTAACACATGTGAGAGAATTTGTATGTTTCCAGGTTAATGGATTCAGGTGTCAGATCTCATCACAGTACACAATAAGGCATAAATGAAGGTCACAAACGATCTTCTTATGGCCTCTGACAGTGAACTTATTTCTGTGCTTGTCCTGCTAGACGTCAGTGCAGTTTTTGATACTACTGACAGCAATATTTTATTACAGCGATTACACCATGCTAGAGGAATTAAAAATGCTGCATTGCAGTGGTTGGACTCATATCTATCTAATAGACACCAATTTGTTCATGTAAAATGGGGAATCTTCTTCACACAATAAGGTAAATTATGGAGTTCCACAAGGTTTTGTGCTGGGGCCAATTCTATTTACATTATACATGCTTCCCTTAGGCAGTATCATTCGAAGCATAACATACATTTTTGTTGCTGTGCAGTTGATGCCCAGCTTTATTTATCCACAAAGCCAGATATGACACACCACTTAGTTAAACTTAAGGAATGTCTTACAGACATAAAGACCTGGGTGACCTCAAATTTCTTGCTTCTAAATTCAGATAAAACTGAGGTTATTGAACTTGGCCCTTAACGTTAAACATGCTGTCATATTAGATGCTTGCTCTGGATGGCAGTACCTTGGCCAACAGTAACACTGTGTGGAAACTTGGGAGTCAGGTTTACCATGATATGACCTTAAATGTGCATATATGTTCAAGGAATGCATAGGACGGGTGAATTGGTCATATATAATTAAAACTTGATTTAAAAAAATTATTGTTGCTTTATTCATTTCAATCCAAGTCTAAAGAGCACTATTATTATGTACACAGTACAATAAACCCCATAGTGGTAGTAAATCATAAAGCAGACATAGATTAGCCATATTTGGAGAAGGTGTCCCTATGTTGCCATCCAGTGTCCACTGCTGGTACTGCAAGTATTTCTTGAAAATTAATAATAAACCTATTATAGTTTTTTCCATTGAAATATTTTTAGTCTTTGATTCTGCTAGAGAAACTTTGTATGATTCATCCTCAGTTCCACTGTCTGTAGCAAGCCATTTCGGCTCCTCCTCCTGTAGAGCCACCCGTCTTTCTTTGTGATTTAAACAAAACGCTTGAACAGCAGGTAGGAGTGGCTGAGAGCTTTGTGCCTGAGATGAGCCACAAGCAGAAAAAAATATTTTTACATTAAATATGTCAATGAAAATAACTTTAACAGACTTAACAATGTGCCACATTTTAGAATGGAATCACATGAAGTGCTCAGTAACGCTCTTCCGTCTTTGATTTACACAGACACTCCAAGAAGTTGGAATTTTATCCACACTTTGTCCTGGGTGCTCAACCTCTTCGGGATCTTCTTTATCCTGGCTGCGCATGAACACTACTCCATTGACGTGTTCATAGCCTTCTACATCACTACCAGACTCTTCCTGTACTACCACACCCTAGCTAACACTCGGGCCTACCAGCAGAGCCGGAGAGCTCGCATCTGGTTCCCTATGTTCTCCTTCTTTGAGTGCAATGTCAATGGGCCGGTCCCCAACGAGTACTGCTGGCCTTTTTCTAGACCTGCTGTGCT